CCTTGGAAGAGGAAATGGGATGGGGTTGGTTTGAAGAGCTGCTGTTCTGAGCAGAGCAGGGACAGGACCCAGGGAAGGGCTGGAGCTGAGTCAGGAAGGTTTAGGTTGGATCTCAGGGAAAGGTTCTTCCCCCAGAGGGTGGTCGGGCACTGCCCAGGCTCCCCAGGGCAGTGGGCACAGCACCAAGGCTGCCAGAGCTCCAGGAGGGTTTGGACAATGCTCTCAGGGACAAGGTGGGATTTTGGGGTGTCTGTGCAGGGCCAGGAGTTGGACTGGACGATCCCTGTGGGTCCTTCCAGCTCAGGGTATTCCATGATTCTGTTCTTGCCCATCCTGCATGTTGAAGGGGAACACTGGGTTTTCCCAGTAAATTCCCTGCACTTTAAAAGCATGTTTTTCAGGTGTAGTTTTGATGCAGCAAATTGCAAGTGAACAGGTTTGGAGTTTTTACTTCTTTCGCTGGTATTTGAGGTCTGTGTCCCACACAGTGTGATAAATCAAGCACAGATATCACTAATAATTTAAATTCCTGCTGTCCAGGGGTGCAGGAGAGCTCTGGAGGTGTCTGTGCCTGCCCCTCAGGCACTGATTGAAGAGCCCTGGGGCTCTGGGCCGTGTGATCTGACGGATTCACTCTGCTCTGTGGGCTCAGAACCACATCCGGGGCTCACACACATCTCCAGCTTCGCAGTTTTCTGCAGCCCAGGAAATGGGTTTGTGTGTTTTGGTGGGTTTTTTTTCCTACAGAGGTCAAGTTCAAGTGCAGTTCTCCCGCTGTGGGCAGCCCTGGAATGCACTCCCCCCGTGGATCCAGACCAGGAAGGGACAGTCCCTGCTCCTGTGGATGCTGAGCTGAAGTTTCTAGGTCAGGCTGAGCCCTTGGCCTCAAACCATGGTCTCAGTTCTCCCTCCTGCGTGGGCAGGGGCTCGATGGACACCAAACACAAACAGCCCTGCACAAAGCCAAAGCCATTTCCTCCTCTGCCCCTTCCACAACATTTCATTTACCCTCCAACAGGATAAATTTGGGTTTGATATTCAAGGTTCTGCTTTATATTCCCTTGTGAGTTGTGCAGCTCGAAGAGGAGCTGGGGCTTTATTTGAATATTTATTTGAATAATGGCTTGTCTTTCAGGTTGAATAACATTTGTGTTTTGAGTAGATAACAGTTCCAGCAGAACTACATTTCCTGCTGTCACAGTATCTTTATCCTTAAGCATTTCTCACTGAGCCCTTGGCCTTGGTAGGAGGTTTTGGGTTGCATTATCAATTAGTGCCTTTCCTTAACAGGGGGGGTCTTGTTGCCTTTGGTTGTTGCAAACCCTTTCAAACATTTTTGATTAATTGAAGTGTTTTATGTCTGAGAACTTCTGTCTTCTTCCTCTTGTGAAACGAAGTCAGTGCTGATTTTTTTTTTTTTTTTAACAGTCTCTGCTTGGATTTCTTTCTATTTTTATTTTTTTTTTAGCTAAATGTTCCTGAATGTTTTATAAAGAGGATATTATTGTAGTGTTTCTGCTTCACTTTCCGAATGAAGGGAAGGAATAGTTTGAGTATAATCCTATTTACTACATAGAGCTGTCATTTCTTTTTCCTTAAACTGGCCTTATTTTGATTTTTTTTTTAATTAAAATTTAATTTTAAATTTTATTTATTTTTTTTTAAACTTTACTTCACTGCTGATTATGATACTGCATTTGAAACAGTTTCTGTTCCCAGAACCAGTTCAGTACATTAGTTTTAAACTAATAAGTAACACATTTCTCAAAGGCAGACCAGGCCTCACGTTTGGAAGTGACTCATGTTCTTTCAGTCTCATTCACATTAAACTGGTTTTACACCTTTAAATGCATAAAAAAACCACTTAAGTGACTTTTAAACATTTCTCCCATTTCCTTCTTTTGTAGAGCAAGGTGCCAGAAGGAAAAAGAAAATATCCTTGGGTGCAAATCCTTGTTTTCACTCTTCAATCTCCTTCTCCCCCCTCCAAGGGTTTTTGAGTGTAAAAAAGAGCAAGTTGCAGTTTAACAACTTGTGGTGCCTCTTATATTGCATTTTCCCACGTGAGTTAAACGCAAACATAAATGTTTTAACACTAAATCACGGAATTGTGGAATGGTTTGGGTTGGGAGGGATCTTAAACATCACCCAGTGCCACCCCCTGCCCCGGGCAGGGACACCTTCCATGGGACACCAGGGACACCTTCCATGGGACACCAGGGACACCTTCCATGGGACACCAGGTTGCTCCAACCTGGCCTTGGACACTTCCAGGGCTGGGGCAGCCCCAGCTGCTCTGGGCCCCCTGTGCCAGTGTTGGATTCCCGGGTAGGACACGGGGCAGGTGCCCCTGGAGCAGAATTCCAGAGGGCTGGAAAGAGCAGCGGGCGGAGCGTGGGAAGGAGGCTCTGGGGAATTGCTCCCTTTGCACCTCCAGTCATTAAAAGGGTTCAAACCCAAGGAGGAAGAGCCCAGGTCTCTGATCTGAGGGTAGAAGACTGTGCTAATTAACAGAAACAAAAATTCCCAGGACTTTTTAAGTGCTGGAAGGCGTCGCTGCCACCAAAACAAATAACCCAGGTTTAAAGCTAAGCCTGGCAGGGAAGCTGTTGGCAAACAGACTTTTAAAAATAAATAAATAAATAAATAAAAAGCTGCCACCTCCTTTTCCTTGACATTTCTCAAGCCTCCCTTTGATCTCCAGGCTTTTCCCTGGATCTCGTGGCCCTACAATGAGGGAAATGCCATCTCCAGGCCTGTGTGGCATCTGTGCTTCCACAGCAGCTTCAAAACTTGTCAGGGGGGATAAAGTTTGTCCTGGTGAGCCTTGATGATAAACTTGGGACTCCAGCTGCTGCTAATTACAGCACATTCCTCACTGGGATGTGGCTGGAGTTATCCTGGAGTTATTATTATGGCTGGAGTTATCCTGACCGAAAGGAAAAGCCAGTTGAAGGCAATTACTTGTGGTTTTGGGAATCTTCTCCATGTAACTGAGGTTTGGTGTCAGCCCTTTTACAGCTGAAGGAAGGAGAAGCTGCTCTCTTTGTAACGTGGGGGGAACGCTGAGAAATGTTGTGTAAAAGTGAGGAAAAGGGAGAGGGGGAAAATCCTCAAGGAGGAGGATGCTGAGGGACTCGTGCACCTCTCCACGTGTCTCTGGACACAGCTGGAGCACCTTGGATTGTTCCTGCAGGGTTTCAGGGAGAAGTGGCCCATCAGCTGGTGGTTCTGAGCTGCAGGGGAGGCACAGCACCAACTCTGTTCATCCAGGTGCAGAATTAACTCTGATCTCTTCCAGCTCCCGTGTTCAGGCTCCCGCAAGAGGAAAAACTCCCCTACAAAAAAAAAACCAGGATGGGAAAAAAAAAATCCCTCTGTAAAAACCAAGACAAGGGGCAGCCCAACCCACTCCAGGAGAGTTTCCTGGCTCCTTAAAGGAAAAAAAAAAAGGAATAAGGGGGGTGTAGTAGATCATCCTCTGGAGTTGATCCCATTATGACAGGGCTCATTACATCACATTTGGGTGCTCACTCTTCCATATGGGACACGGGGGACCCTGTCTGGGCCCACTGCTGGGGAAATGTCTCCAGTGCTGTTTGTGTGTCTTGACCCCAGGCAATCCTTCCATTCTTCCCTCGTTAATCCAGTGATTTGTGGAATGCCAGTGACCCCTCAGCGAGTCTCCTGAGCTGCCAGGGCTGGGAGTGACACGGAATTGTCAATAACAATATCTGGGGGAGTTCGTGGTGGAGCAACATTTCTTAACATTCAGGTCAAAGTCAGCCCCCCCCCGGCGTTTCAGAGAGTGAGGCTGATTGGAATGAATCAAATTAATTGCAAAGTTATCAATGCATCTGGGCTATTGGTAGTTTTTATTTCTTTTGGGAATAGCAGGAGCAAAGGATTTGCTGCCTTGGGTGGTTCTAGGATACCTCCTGGTGCTGGAATAGCCATAAAAATTCTAGAGAAGTGTGACACAGAAAGGAAAATAACTTTTAGAGGTAGGAAAGGGAGAGACACAAAAACCTGGGATGGTGGTAAAAAAAGTGAGATAGAATCATCAAGCCATGACATCCACGTTTGCCCTGCTCTGTCATGATGAGATTTGAGTGGAAAACTCTCATTATTCTTTTGATGGTCCTTTTTGTTGTTGTTGTTAATTAATGAAATCATTAAGGTTCTCCCAATCCTAAAGGGCCACTTCCCTGTTTGTTTGCAGGCAGGTGTATGGCCTTGTCCTTCTCCACCCTCAGCTACTCCAAGGCAGGATCCATCCTCCAAAAAAAGAGATGGGTCTTCTCTTACAGCTGGAAAGGAGCAGAGCTTGGGTGTCTTTATTCTGCAGCCCCTTCCTGCCTGTGCAGTACAAGGGCTGGAGAATAAACACACTGGGAAATGTTTGCTCTGTGTCCTGTAACAGGGTGCCCGTTGTTTACCTGCAGCAAACATCCACCCCTCAACTGGATAATAAAATAGTCAAGGAAAGGCACAATTTTAATCTTCTGAAGTTTCATAGATAATTATTCTCGATCGACTGGTTTGACAAGAACTGTCTTTCCCAGCGAATGGGGCTGGGGTGGGTTCTGGAAACGTTTTACAGTTATTTTCTGTTTCGGGTTTCCTGCTTCACCCAGTAATGATGGATTGGGGCACTTTTCTGAAAGAACTGACCCCAAGTTCCGCAGAAAACTGTCTGGCAGAGCTGAGAAATGTCACCCAAGACAAGGACACGGACTGGAAGAACTGTGGAAGGATTGTGGCTCTGTGGGAGAAACAGGGACGGGAGGGGAAAAACTTGTGAGCGGGGAAGAAAAGTCAGGGGCACTGTCAGGAGGAGTCTGGGGACACCTCCAGTGTGGCTTTAGGTGCTGCCTGGAGGAAGGGTTTGGATTTAGAATCAAAGAATTCCCATTGTTTAGGCCCTGCTTTATCCAAGCAACTGGAACTTTTTATGTCCCTTTGCAGATGAGCAGAATTTCCTTAAAGGAACGAGATGGCCCCCGACTGGAGCAAACAGCCAGCCCTGCTTTTTCTTCTGGTTGTCCCTGCTCAGGAGGGACTCGTATCAGTGAGTTATTGTTCAGTTAAGGTCAGCAGGGCCCCTGGTTTGGGCTGTGTCCCACCCAAAGCCCCCCGGGTGCCACGGGCAGAGCTCGGGGCTGACGCTGCCCTGGCAAATCGAGTGGATGGCTCATGGGGTGCATCATTTGCAAGTGGCTGAGCAAATGTGTTGCAGGGAAAGGCTGGGAAGACTGAATGGGAGCTGACAGTTTCCTTGGCACCCGAACCAGAAAGAAATCCATGGCTTTGTTTCTTGCTTAGCAGAACTAAAGGGCAAGCAAGGCACGGGGTGGCTTTAAGCTGCTGGTACCAAACGTGCAGGGTGGGAAAGAGTTCAATCCATAGGCAGCTTTCTCTAACCAGATTTGAATCAAAATAGGCTGTTTTCACAAGGAAGAGCCTCAAATCTTGTGCCTCGAGCTGGAAATTGTAAACTGACACTGGAGTTGGCTGCTTTGCCCCGTGGCAAAGTGATTCTGGGCTGCAGTGAAATCAAATTTACCCCCTTGGGGTAAGAGTGGGAGGGAGTGAGTGGGATGTGAGCAATTATCTGATGCTCTGGTGAGGAAAAGACCTTTCAGAGGAGGGTGGGACCCATCCCAAACTGGCATCTACCAGGCACTGGCCAGGAAATTCTTCCCTGCCTTGTTTGTAGGACTGAGGTGGGCGAGGAGTGATGTGCTGGGAGGGAGGAGAGGCAGGCTGGTACAAAAGCTGCACTGCAGGCTGTAGAATAAGGTGGTGCAATGTGCCCTTTCTCTTCCCAGTGGCCTCCCTGAGTGGTGCTGGGCTGTCCTTGGGGTGCAGAGGGTTAAAGAGCCCTCTGGGGCCAGAGCGGGGAGCTCTGCAACGCTCAGGATTAAAGTTCAGAGAGCTGGAGCCTGAGCTCTGCAGCCTGTGGCTGCTGTCACAGGGCACCAGAACAGAGCTGGGGCTTCCTCTGCACCCGTGGGAAACGTGGCTTTACCTGCAGCCCGGAGGTGACAGCCCAGCACCCGGCGGAGCAGCCTCGGGGGCAGAGGAGGAGCCGTTTGTTCCGTTCCTCTCCCGGGGGGAGCTGTTTGGAGCCGTCTGCATTTCACGCTGCCCTTGTGGTCGCCCCTTTCTCCCCGGGCACCCGCAGCAAGGACGTCCCTCCCTGCCGGGTTCCTCCTGGCAGGACGAGGGGGCGAGCCCAGCCTTGCCGGGCCGGTGGCACCGCTCGGAACCCCCGAGCAGCACGTGGAGCCCGGGGCAGGGGGGTCGGCTGCAGGACACGGGGGTTAAGGATGCAGCCCAGGGACCGAGTGTTTGTCCTGCTCTCTGTAAACAGAGCAGGCATGCCCAGATTTTCAGCTCTCCCCCTCTGTGCCGCCTGCAGAGGCAGCAAGGCTGGTGCTGAGCAGCAAACAGAGGGAGCCAGGCCAGGATCAATAAGGGGGTTTTGACAAGTTTGTTTGCTTGGCTGCAAAAGGCCTTGGGATGCAGTGAGTGGTACACGGTGACCCCATCTCCCCACCACACAACAAAATCTCCCCGATGGGTTCTTATGTGAGACAGGCTTTGCAGAGGCTCAAAACCACGAGGTTGTTTCTTGGGCTTGAAGACTCACAATTAAAAGCAAATAAATAAATGGCTTCCTGGTTTGGGCTGTTTGTGGCTGGTGATGTTTCCGAGCCCTTTTTTTTTTTTTTTTTCTCCTTTTTTCCTTACGACCAAAACACGAGGAAATGGATATTTTTTTTAAAAAGAAAAATAATTTAAAAGAAAAGAAAAAAAAAAAAAAATCCGTGACTGCAACCGCTCCAAAACTAAATATTGTGAAACTTAGGGGAGATAAAAATTATGCAAAGCTGACAGAGGGCTGATCCAGTGTCCTCCCTGCAGCCTCACCCAGGGAAAACGGGCTGCCTGCACCGTTAGCTGGGGGTTGTGTCACTGAGGAAGGACAGAGTGAGGCTGTGGGATGTTGCAGCTTGGCTTTGCTGTTGGAGAGGAAGCAAGAACGTTGTGCTGTTCCCTTCAGCCCCCCCAGGAACGGGCACCTTCCAGCCTGGCACTGCTCCAGCCAATCACAGAATCCCGGGATGATTTTGGCAGGAGGGGACCTTAAAGCTCGTGTCATCCCACCCCCTGCCCTGGGAAGGGACACCTTCCACCTTGCTCAGAGCTCCGTCCAACCTGTGCCTCTACCAAGGCATGAAAAATGCAATGCCTGCCGTTTCCCTGCCCCAGATTCTCCCTCCTCCCTGGTGCTGACTGTGGCAGTTTTTGCCCGTGCAAGAGCTGACTTTGCAGCTCCCTTTCCCATCCCTTGATTTTCCACCCTGACGTGTTGGAGGGTCCCTGTCGCTCCAGGCCCTGCTGCTCTGGGCACCCACCCACAGCCTCTCAGGCCTCGTCAGGGAGTCAAAATGCTCTTTTTTGGGGCACCCCACGCTCTGAGAGCTGTAGCCTGGTGGCTTCTCCTGAAGTGCCTGAGACAAAAATACATTTCCTGTTTAGAGAGAGAGCAAAGATCAGCCCCGAAGTGCGGCCGCCTGCTCTGGTACCTCAAGTACAAACAGCCCGTGCTGCCTGTGCCTGTTCCAGTGCCTTTTTCTCTCTAAAGGTCCATTAAACACAATTATACCAAGTCCATCTCCTGGCAGCATCACTCCTGACAGGCACAAGAGTTTTAGAAGTGTCAACTTGTTGGGGAGGATCCCTCTAAAAGCCCCCAGTGTGAATTCCCACCTTTGTTCTCAAGGCAGCAGCACCAAGCACCACCAAAGTGTGTTCCTACAGGCATTTCTCTGACACTTTTCCACCTTTGGTGACTGAGTTCTCTGTAAATATCACTCAGCCTCCCTGGGTGGGGTGCTGAGGTTGGGTTTGTGTTCTCGGCTCACAGGGAGAGAAAGGTTTGGGTTGTGAGTCAGCAGCTGCTCTGCAATCAAGGTCAGGACTTGCATTTTCTGTAATTAAGCACAAAACGGGCTTAAAGCCACCCTTAGGCCAGCCTGGGGCTCCCAGAGTCGATCAGAGCACCCATGAAATTCATCTCTGGAGGGATTCAGGGTCGTGCATTCTCTCTGTGGGGCTGCAGCAGAGGAATCTGAGCTGTCACAGCTCATCCTGTGCCCAGGTGAAGCTGGCAGGTCTCCTGCTCCCTGGCTCCTTGTTTTCTTTGCCACACGTGGTGCTTCCCAACCCCTGTCAATATTCTGGTCGATACCACGAGCTCTGCCTGGCTGGGTACATGAGATTTAGATAAGACCAGGGCAAATCTGTGCCATGATCTAATCAGGCCTGAGCAGCTGGGATGGCAGTTGACCCCGTATTTTCCCTGCTTGATAGATAATTCTGGTTTGCAGATTCCCATGATGGCTCAATCCTGCATTATTCTGAAGCTTCTCATCCTGCTTCAGAATCAATTATTGGGCCCATTTATAAGCCCAGGACTGGATCCAGTGAAACCAGAGTATGACCAAGGTCAGGCTGTTATTGTTGTGTTTGGATACCCGAGTTCATGGTCTAAATTTTCGGAGCTGCTGATCCCACTGAAGATCCCAACTGAGCTCTTGCCAAAGTGCTCCTGGGAACTCTGTGTGGGATCTCCAGTGGCTGGAAAGGCCAAGTTCTTTTGGTTTTGCTCAGTTCTGGGGACGTGTCACCTGGAAGGAAGGAAGGGCCCGAGGAGGGAGGAGGGGAAGTTCCACCAGTGTGTGGCTGTATTTTGTGTCTGTGGTGATGTGTCCTTCTCCCCCCTGAGGCCCTGCAGGCAAAGCTTGGTGGTCCAAGGAAGGACTGGAGGTGGCCCTCAGTGCCCTGGGCTGGGGGACAAGGTGGGGATTGGGCACGGGGTGGACTCGATGGTCTTGGGGGTCTTTTCCAACCTCAGTGATTTTGTGATTCTGAGCAAACCCTCTGCACCTCCAAGAGGTTTTGGTCTTCTGTACTGGTATGAAACACTAAATGTTAATTTATCCTGTGACTTTTGAGAGAAACAAGGTTTTCTATGCCCTGCCCCAGCCCCTGTTGTTGGTGTGGATACGTGTAGAGCTCTGAGGTCCCCAGTGTCCCAGTGGGATGAGCAGAGCCTCCTCTCAGTGACATCCAGGAGTGTCCAGCACCACAGCCTGCAATTTCTGCTTTAAAACTGGCTGCCTGGGCCTGAACCAAGATCACACAGTGACTCAGAGCCGGGAATAGAAGAGAGGAAACTGCAGTTCATGCTGCTCGTCTGACCACTGAGCCCAGCAGTGCCCAGCTCCTCCTGCTCCATGTGGGCATTTGGGAATCCACCTCGGGACAGTCATCTGCTCCAGTGCAAGAGAGGGAGGAGAAGAGAGAGAAAAAAAAACCCAGACAACCAGCACTAATAGCCATTAAATTGCTCGTGAACTTCTCTGCCTAGAAAACAGGGGCAGTTCTCCCCACCCAAATTTGGATTCTGGCACTTCCCCAGCTGAAGTCATAGCCCAGCTCTCCAGCGCTTTTTGTTGGGTTTGGATTTTTTTGTTACCGAGTTCCTGCATCTGGAGTGCCAAAAAAGCTCCTTTTTTTTTTTTTCCCCCTTTTTTTTTTTTTTTTTCAGGAAACAGCAGTGTCATTTCTGCTCGTCAGCCACCCCAGTGAGTGAGTTCTCATCAGCTCAAGTGACAACAAACGCAGGTGCTTCTCTGCTTTTTCTGTGGAGGGCGAGTCCTTTCAGCAAACTTTGGGAGGGAACAGCTGCTCCCAGTAAAACACCAACTATCCCGCTGACCCAAGCTGAAATGTGACGTGGAAATGGGATTTTTGACCTTGAGAGGTACAAAGCTGCTCAAAGGAGGGACCCTGTGAAGATTAAAAATAACTAATCTTTTGTAATGCTTCTGTAACTAATAGAGCTGGATGAATTCATTGCAAAACCAGGGGCCAAATCTTTAAATAGCACAAACCAGCCCAAGTCTTTTGACGACTTTTGAAGTCTTCAGCTGAAGAACTGGCCCAAGCTTTTGCAAACATTAATTTAGGAACAGCTGGTTTTGTCAACTGCATTCTTGCCTCATTTTTCCTATCCTCTGCTCATTTTGTTCACACACACGAAAAAAAAAAAGATACTTGTTGCTGCAGATGTTTAGGGAAGGCTGTTTTGTCTAAGGGTTCTCATCTCGAGGGCTGGCTGGATGAATAGAACACTGATTTTTCCTCAGCTCAGGGTTCTGTTAGACAAGTTAGATGCCGTTATAACGTCGAGATGTCTCTGTACAAGTGTGTATATATAAATGTATATATTTTGTGTCTCTCCTCGCAGCCGTGTGAGTTAAGCAGCCATCTCCCACGAATAGCGGCCAGGGCCAGGTCACAAACTTCCCAGAGCAGGGGACCCGTTTGCGTACAATCCAAGCAATTACCAGCAACGAACAGTACTTAGTAAACCCAAACAAAACCAAAAGAACCACTCCTGCTGCCATCAACGCTCCGGCGGGAGGGAGGGGGGGAAAAAGAAAAGGTTAAGAAAAAAGTTTGTTGGTCGGTTGGTTTGTTTGTTTGTTTAAAGAAGTGAAACCACTTTTTGTTTGGGTTGAATGGAGCGGCTGCTGGGGCCGATGGGGAACGGTGTGCGGGGCTGCGGGGAGCGGGGTTGGGAGGAGCGGGGCTGTTCTCCCGGCGTTGGAAGGAGAGGGGCTGTTCTCCCGGCCGGGAGTGCGGGGAACGGTGTGCGGGGCTCCGGGGCTGCAGGGATCGGAGTTGGAAGGAGAGGGGCTGTTCTCCCGGCCGGGGGTGCGGGAAACGGTGTGCGGGGCTCCGGGGCTGCTCCGCCGGCCGAGATCCAGGAGCGGGGCCGTTGTGCCGGCTGTGGGATGCGGGGATCGGGGGGATGCTCTCCCGGCTCCGGGGCTGCGGGAAACAATGTGCGGGAAACGGTGTGCGGGGAACGGGGCTGCTCTCCTGGCGGACCCTGAGGGGCTCCGAGGATCCGGGCTGTTCTCCCGGGGAAGGTTTACGGGGAACGGGACTGCTCTCCCGGCGGGGAGGGTCCGGCTCCGGGGCTGCGGGGATTTGGGACCGGGGCTGCGGGGCGGCTGTGCCGGCAGGGGGTTCGGCTGCGGGGATTTGGGACCGGGGCTGCGGGGATTTGGGAGCGGGGTTGCGGTGCCGTTGCGGGGGTGGCCGAGCCCCCCCTTGGCCCCGCTCGGCCCGGGCAGCGCATGCTCCCTGCCGGGCCCAACCTGCCCATTTAAACCGCGGCGGAGGCGCGGGCGCGGAGCTGGGCTCGGCTCAGCCGCGGGCAGCGCCGAGGTAGGACGGGCACTAGGAGCGGGATCGGGGATGGTCGTGCCGGGCAGCGGGAGCGGCTCCTGGGGGAGCTGCCGGGGCTCTCGGGGGGTCCTGGGGGGCTCCAGAGCTCAGCACTCGTAGCCCAGGACCGGGCGCTGCTCGGACCCCGCTGATGCTCCCGCGGTCCCGCTCCGGCTCCGCGGGGGACGGAGGGGAAAACAAAAAGCCCTGTGGGGTGGGGGGCAGAGCAGGAGCGGCCGCAGGTAGGGCTGTGGGCGGGCGGGGGGTCCCGGGTACAGCAGGGTGTGCCGCGAGTTTTTTCCACGCTTCTCATTCTCGCAGAGACATCCGCGGCGAGCGGGGCGGGCTGGAGGATCGCTGAGCGGGCTGGAGGATCGCTGAGCGGGCTGGAGGATCGCTGAGCGGGCTGGAGGATCGCTGAGCGGGCTGGAGGATCGCCGAGCCGGCTGAAGGAGCCCGGGGAGCGGGGATGTGACTTCCAGAAATCCTGGAGACTCGCAGGGACAGGTCAGTGAATTCTCAGAATCCGAGAAAAGCAGCGCCGGGCAAAGGGAAGTTTTCTTTACACGTGGTTGGAGGCTCTTGTTTGGATTTGCTGCCAGGTTATCTGTCTCTCCCCGCCAGCTCTAGTGGGAGTTTGAGCGGGCTGATGCTTCAACAGTGGTACCTAAATGTCATAATGTGGGCATTCCAGAGATTACTGACTTCGGCGTGATATTCCAGGGTTTGCTGACTTTGGCGTGGCTCGAGATTTTGGTGGTAAAATTCCTTAGTTGTTTATGATAAACATAAACTAGAGGAGTAATTTGTCTTCCTGTGGATGGCAGCTTTAGGAGGAAGAGAAAGGCATTAGAATAAACTTAATATTGACTCTGGTGATGACCAAACTTGGCAAGGTGTTTGGTTTTCTTGCTTATAATTAAAACAGAAAACAGCAAACATTGAAAGGGAAATGTATCAGGAAAAGGTTTGCTGGTGCCCCTCCCCTAGACCTGTCAGACTCCTGAGCAGCACAGGGAAAGGGCTCAGGCTCCAACCCTGTCCCACCCTGGTGCTGTTCTGGTTCTAGCTGTGGTTCAAGCGAGCAATGTTTGTACGTGTAACATGAGAATAACTCGAAATTTATAGAAATAGAACATGAGTAAGAACTTCAAAAGTACCCAAATGACCTGGGCACTGAAGTCATGCAGGCACTCCTGAAAAACGTGTACCAGCCTTTAAACCTTTTCTATTATTTGCCCCACCTGCAATTTTCTTTCTTTTTTTTTTTTTTTTTTTTTTCATTTTTTTAAATGTGTGATGCTACCTCTGGACTTTCTGGCATCATCCCTCTACCCTTCCACTCGTGGGGAGTGGCAGAGCCAGGAAAGCCAGATTGCCAGCCCTGCTCTGGGATTCCAGGCGGTGCCCAAAAAACTCTGGAACTTATTACCACCAAGCCATGGTGGAAGCCAAGAGCTCTTGGCTTATGGGATGGGGGGGGAGGGGGGAAGGAAAAAAAAAAAAGGATTAGAAATTTGATATGGATAACGAGAATCTGCAGAATTAATAGCAAATTAAATGAGAGCTGTATGAGGGGTAGAAATCCCTGTATTTCAGGGCATAAGCAGATCTTGGGATTTAGGAGGAAACTTCTCCTTGCAGGGAGGTTTTGCTCACACTGGCTGCTGGTGGGATATTCCCCTGCAGGCTGTTACAGACATGGCCTGTGCAGGGATCTCTGAGTGTTGTGTCAATTCAAGTGCCTGAGCCTCCAGGTGTTTCCCAACATCAGGTTGTTTCTGGAAGGCCCAAAGCACCTGGTTTTGTGCAGAACCTGCCCAAGGATAAGAGTAACATCACCTGTGAGCAGAGCAGTGGTTTCACAGGCTGTCATCCCTGTAGTAAAGTGGTAGTAGATGCCTCCATGTCCTCCAGACAAACTCCAGCAGCAGCATTCCTAAGGTGTACAGTCAGATTTTTGTCAGCAGTGTCTGGATGTATCCATGTTATATCCAGGGTGGGAGAAGCTGAAATCACTGGGCTGATCACTGAGCTAAAAAATACAGCCCTTGGTCTCTTTATCTTTGCCAGAGTTCCTCGGAAACGATGTTTAGCATAAACTCTTGGTAACCTTTTCCCCAAACTGTTTATCTCGCTGGAGCACTCAAGTGGCAGGGTTGGGGTGGGGGGAAGGGGGTGTTCTTGGGTTTTTTTTTTCTCCCTGAGTTTCATATCTCTGCTCTTCAACTCCATATGGAGCTTAGGGTGATGGCTGGACTCTTGTGCTTGATGGCATTAGGGCTGCATGCTCTTAAAAATAAAAAGAAATAACCTTAACTACCCAGTTTTGTGTTAAAGCTACAAGTAGAAGCTTTGCTTAAAGTTTGAACCAACAAAGCTGGTCCTGAAAGCATCGACTCCATTGTATGATGAAGTGATGGGGCAAAAACTACTCTTTGAACATAACTCTGTGGGTCTCCTCACATGTCTTCTGGTGAAGCCTCTTTGGAAATACCTGGGAGCAGAGTTCCTGCATCACTGAAAATCTTAACCAGGGCCCCTTGTGTTGGACCCACAAGAAGCTCTCAGGGTTTGCAAATGACTCCTGAGGAATGTGCAAAGGCAAAGGAAGACAGAGTTTGGTGTTCTGTAAAAGCAGTGTTTATATGTGATATTTCCAATCCACTTCGGCTTCCATGGTTTTACAGGGACAAAAAAAAAAGCCTGGAAAGTTGTGCCTGCGGTGCTTCCCTGACTCCTCCCTTCGTCAGGAGTCCTGTGGATGGGGATGTGGCAGAGAACTTCAGGGTTTGTGTGGACACTTCCTGGCAGTTGGTTTCATTCAAGCTGCCTGTGAGTCTGTCAGGTCTGGTCCCAGGCTGGAGCCAGTGCTCAGAGCCTGCTTTCAAATAACAGGAAAAAACACAGAACAGGCATTACAAAATAATATGCTGATGGTCTCTCTTTTTCTCCATGGCTTTTTTTTCCTCCTCTGGCTTTACTCCCTTCAGAATTTTACCCCACTTTTGTCACAGTGGGATCTTTCAGACCAGCTCTAAGTGGTGTGAGTAAGGTGTTTGTGTTTATCTTCCACCTTCCTCTACCTTGGAGCAGTTCACCCAAGGAGTGTCTTGTTGTGGTAGCTGTTTTAGGTTTTCTTTAATATGCAAGTTGCTGCCTCCTTGTCTTGGCTGGGGCAACATCAAAGCAAAACTCTTGACCGTTGGGTGAAAGTTGGGGAGGTTTGTGATGGATTCAAGGCTCAGAGGGAGCAGAAGAGAAAGGAGCTGCAGGCAGTGGTCAGGGTGAGCAGGTAATGAATGAAAGGGGTAAAGCCTTGAGCAGTGAGAGAGAGGTGGGATGGAGACACTGAAACCCAGAAGAGTTTTGTCTGGTGAATCTCCTCCACTCACTTCTATTGCAAATAATTCCATCATGTGATGGTGTGCTGTGGCTCCTGCAGGAGGTGGGGGCAGTCAGCCCAGGACAGCTATTCCTCATAAACTCAACCCAGACAGCCAACCTGGGGAGTCTTGTGATCCCTCAGCCGTGCAGCTGAACCCATGGTCGAGGCTGGGAGTGGAGCAAGGGAGTCATGAGAGGCTTGTGAGCAGCCTGTCAGCAACTCTCAGCATTGACTCGAGTTCTGAATGCTTAATATCAGGAACCAAAACTGTTCATGGGAGAACAGGAACCCTCAAGCTTGGCTGAGAAAGGGGTTGGAGACCCTCATCCTTGCTTGTAATAAGCAGGGGGGATTTTAAAGCTGTCTCTGCAAGGTGATCCAGCAATGTGTGAGCTCATGGCAGACTGTCTGTAAACATGGGCTGCACAACATAAAGCAAATCTTGCACTCTCCACAAACAAAGCAATAGGAAAATAGTAAACTAAAGGATTATTTATATACATCTCCGTGTCCCAGGGCTTGTGTTGGTCAGTTACAACTAGGATTGATATTTATCCCTTGAAACCCGTTCTCCCTCTTGTGCTGCTGTTGCTCCTCACTGCTGGAAGAATCTGAGCCTGATCTTGTGTTTTGGAGCTGCTGATGTGTCCAACCCTCTGAGCTATCGAGTTGCTGGTTCAGAAAACAGAGCTGAGTGGAACTATAAGGGCACCATTTCATGATTGTTGTTTGTATGCACGCTGTTCCTTGGAGGTCCTCTAATTTGTGCCCTTCCTCCTTGTTTTCATATCCTAAAATGTCAGTTCCTCTTGCAGTCCAAAAATATTTGCTTAACATTTTGCCAGCCTGCAGAAGAGGAGAAACAGACCCCCGTGAATATTGTCTGGCAAAATAAGGGACTGTAATGTAGGAATGTGGTTCCAATGGCTTCTTTGTCTCGGGGCTGGAGGCACTGGAACACACACAGCAATAAGCAGGTGCTTGATTTGCAGCTCTGAACCGTTTTTTCTTCTTCCTTGTTGCTGTACAGGAGCTAAAAGAGAGTGCTGTTAGTCCAGATCCCAAGGACCTGGCCCTGCCTTACATCCAGGGAAACCTTGTTTGAGTAAGACATGAAATTAGCCCTGATTTCAGAACCAGCTTCTGGTGACTTGCAGATGAATTCTCATAATTCATAACGCTCAGGAGGTGTAAGGATGGCCTCTGGCAAAATAATGAGGTTTATTTGAAAATAGAAACTTAAAACAACGCTGGGCGCTGGGCTTGGTTTGTGAGGTGTAAAGTTTTTCCCCTTCAGTTAAGGGAACAGGTTTTTTTTCCACCTTCATTTGGGTGAGAGCTGAAGTTCTCTGTGGTGGTTTGTCTCCAGGAGCTGGGACTTCAAGAAAAACACAAATCTAATGAGTGCAGTGTCTCAAATCCATGCAGGTTGTCAGCACTCGAAAGACATTAATGTTCTTGCAGAGCAGGCTGGAGCCAACTTTTGGGAATAATGTGCACATAGTTGTGGATAACATCGAAATCTGGCCTCAGATTGATGGGTTGAGGCTCTGGGTGAAGTGGTGCAGGCAAGGAAATCCGTGGATCACACTTTCATCACCAGGTGGAGGAGTGAATCCTGCTGGGCTCTGACTCGGGGCATCAAAGAGACTGAGGTGGTGATCAAACCTCAACTCTGGTGCTATTTTGCCATTTCCTCCCAGTTGCCTGCTCCTAATTCAAGAGCAATGGGCAGAGCTGGCTCTTGGGTTCGGTTTGAGGTGCCCCTGAGTGTCCCCTCTCCATTCTCTGTGCTCTGCACAGACACCAAACCCCTCCCCACCAACTGCACCCTGTGAGTGAGGTCCCTGGTGGTGATTTTGTACCTTTTCCATCAGCAGTGCCCTGTCTGGGAATGTTGGGCTGGAGAAGCATCTGCCACTGCTCCAGAGTGCTTTGCTGCTCTCTCTCCCCTCTGCCCAGGGCTGTGGTGCCACATCACTTTGGGGAGGGGGCACCCAAAGTGTCGGTCACCCACAAGACCCGAGCTGTCACTGAGTGTCCTGTTAGTTCTCTCCCTGTTATCACTGTGCTACCTTGCTCTGGATTCTGGAGTAAACCAATAAATTCTCCCTTCAGA